GGAGAAAGTCTCCAACATCAGTGCAGGACAGTGGGCTGATGCCTGCAGTGACTGAAACAGAGAGGACACGGCTATCACCTGAGGGAGGACGGTGCGTGCATCCATTTCATCACCATGAATTGAGCTCCTCCTAACTACCAGCCATGGGGCCTGGACAATTGAATGTGGTTTCTCATATACCCGATTCCCCAAGAAATTTTCAAGAACCCATATTCATAAAGCAGTGGGATGCTTGTTTCCTAAAGATACATACAGAACACCGTGACAGCCTCGAAAACTGGGCCTTAGTTTGGGAGTTTGAGGGTGCCATTAGGGACAGCTTCACAAGGATTGAACAAGGGCATGTTCTCAAAGCAGCCAAGAGCCACGTGGACATGACCTTTAGAGAGGAGAAGCGTGTACCAGGCCCGCATCGTGCCTAATATCTTGCTAGCTAGACTCGGGGACCAGCCAAGAGAAGCATTTGCTGCGGGGATTTGATCAAAAGAAACAGACAGCTGCGCTGGTGGAGGCGGTCAGGATGCCTGAAACACTTTGAAAACCCTTTAGCACTATTCCACGGAGCTCCGGTTAGCAGTGCAGTAGGGGTGCAGCGCAGGGAGCCTTCACTGCGGCTCGGGTGGTGGCTGACATGTTCCCAGCGGAGATAATTGAAGGTTGGTGGTGTGCTTGTAGGATATTGAGAAATCACACTTTATATAGTGAGAAGTGGAAAATCACACGCAGACTGTCCAGCCTCAGAGGCCGCACGGCAGAGGCAGTGCTTGGCTCCACGCAGAGGTAAGGAGCGGGTTGAAGACTTGCCGCCTCCGGGATCTTTCTTGCAGCCATTTTGCTCATCAGCATGGCGTGTGGGAAGGAACGAGGACTTAGACTAAGCAGGTCTCTCCCGATCCCCAGCTGGGTCTCTCACCGGATTTGTGACCTGGGTCAAGTAACTTAACCTCTTTGAGCATCGGTTTCCTCATTGTAGAGGCAGGAACAGGGCACAGGTTTTCTGATCCCATGCAGACCGGGTAAAGGAGGAATCAGAGTCCTCAGTGGTTTTTGCAGGCTTTTTTATTGGGGTTCACCAGGCATATGGCAGGCAGGAGTGCTAGGGGGCCAGGAAGCTGGCAGGCCTCCCAGCCCCCAGCAGGTCTTCACTCTGGGCTCTCCGGTCTTCTCTCGGCTTCTGCTCGGCTTCTGCTGCTGCTGCTGCTGGCGTCCCCATGATGCCACCCTTAAAAGCAGTCTTAGCCCAGGTGAATCCTATCTACGTCTGCCCACACCCTACTCCAGGTGCCCGCCATCAGGCATGCATTCAGGACCTCAAGGATCCATCATCTATCCTGATGGCGGGAGGGCAGAAAAGCCTGACATTTTCTTTACCCTACACTCATCTTTAATGTAGGGGTGATAATCCCTAGAGTGGAGGATTCTGGGGAGATTGGAAATACTCTGGGGGAAGAGGCCAATGGCTGACACCAAGTGTGGGGGCCCAGGAGGGGAGGCTGTGGGGACATGTTGAGATGTGGCTGCCTGGACTCGGCCAGTCGGGGGAGATCAGGCTTTGGGACCAGTGGACTCTGTGCATCGGCATCATCCCTCTAACCCTCCATCCTTGCACTGGCTCCCCTCACTGGCTGGCCCCACAGACAATTCTGAGCTTTGGGTATCACTCCAAACACACGCAACTGGTACAGAAGGCCCCTACGGGCCTACAAGCCCCTAGGGATGCCTTCCGCAAGACCCCTCTGCCGTAGCTTCTCACCATTGCCTAGAATTGGATCCAATTCCTGAACCAGATACTGGTGGGGCGAGTTAGGCAGCCGCAGGTACCGAACAAATTTCCCCATACTTAGCAGTTGGCAGCAACAACCCTTATCATCTCCCGATGCCTGTGGGTTGGGAGCCACTCCTCTGGGGCATTCTGGCCTGGGCATCTCACGAGGTCAAGGTCAGCACATTGGCTGGGTTGGCAGCCACAGAAGGTAGGGTGGAGGCTGAAGCAAGGGCTTTGAGCACTCACACTACTCTTGGCAGGAGGCCTTGCCAGCCGGCTTTGCAGTCTCCGTGGGACGAAGTGAGAATCCTCATGGTTTGTCCTTTCTCCATGGGCATGAGGCATCCCGGAGGGAGGGCAGGGAGCCATGGGCTTTTGTTGACCTCCTCTTAGAAGTCACAGACTCTCATTTCCGCCTTGTGCTGTTCAAGTGAGTCACTAAGTTATGGGGGGGTGGGAGGCTGGCTCTTGAAGGTGGGGTACTAAAAAAGTTGTGGACCTATTTAAGAACTACCATGTGTAGGGTATGACCAGCACTGCATAATAGAAAATTATCTGGTGGTCGGGGCTGCTCTGCTCTGCTGGCGTCACTACTCATGTACATGACCACGCAGAACATCTATTGTGAATATTTCCTTGTTCTGGGTGTCAAGGGGAATGTGGGGGTGTTAGACATGGGCCCTGGCAATCACAGTAAAGAGAGAGTGTAAGATGTGCCAGAGACTGTGTTCCACGGTGGAAAGCTACTCAGGATCCAGGAGAGGACAGAGGAAGTGTCAGAGGAAAGATGTAGATTCCAAGAGGAAATGGACTTCTTGCAATGAGCACATTTGTGGAGGAGGTGGGATTTGAACCGGGCTTTTAGCAAGAGTTCAGTTTACACACTTAGAGATGGGAATTGGAGTTGGTGAGGAGTATATTCACACCAAGGGTGTCAGCCAGCTTGTTGACTTACTGTGTCTCTCGGTCTGTCTACCTATCAGTCATCCATCCATTTATCATCTATGTCTGTCTATCATCTGTCCGTCCATCCATTTATGATCTGTCTATTCATTCATCCATCCATTTATTATCTATGGTCTATCCTTCCATCTCTCTCTCTCTCTCTCTCTCTCTCTCTCCCCATCTATCCATCCATCCACCCATCCATCTATCTATCTTTAGCCCTTATGACATTTTAGGGTGAAAGACACTATTACCCCATTTTTCAGATGAAGAAGCAAGCTTAGAGACTGAGACCCATGAGGCCTGCCCTCCAGAAGAGGTTCTGCCCTTTGTCTAAGGGGTACTTGTATTGTGGAGAGCTTGGAGGACAGGGCCTTGCTTGAAGAACTGGGCTAGCTTGTTCAAAGTCAGACTTTTATATAATAATTTAGCTTTGGGGAATAGGTACAGCAGAGTGAGTAATCTCTTTATAGAAGAATTTGTCATTTTATTGAACCTTTACTGAAGATTCTCTCTAATTATCAAACCCACACCCCACCCAATGCATTGAAAATATGATTCAAAATTTATTAAGATTTACTTTGCACACCTCTCCCCCTGGAATTCCTACTCTGCATTATACCTTTAGTAGGCTGGTTGTTGGAACAATTAGCTTGCAAAAATTAGCTTATAAAACTGAGAAGGTTTCATAGAAGAAATGAGATCTTAAAAATTAAATTCACTTTTTTGTATTATAAGGGGATAAAGTTTATTGAAATAAAAAAATCCCATTAATTGTTGTTGACACCTGGAGCTCCACCCACTGAACAATCACTGGGTGTGGGAATGAGCGTGGTGGGAGAGGCTGAGTCACCCGGCTGCTTCTCCAGGGGCCTTGACATTTGTTTGGTGCTGGAAGAGCTTCTAGGAGCACAAGGCTCCCCTGCCAGGCCCCAGACAGCAGAAGTCAGGGGCAGTGATTGCTCCTGCCCAAGGGGTCAGGACACCTGGCTGAAAAGCTTGGGACCTCCTGCCCGCCTCCCCCACACCTGCATCTCCCCCACACCTGCATCTCCTGCAGTCCTTTGCCTACCCCCACACTGCATCTCCTTCATACCTGCATCTCATCCATGCCTGCATCTCCCTCACACCTGCATCTCCCCGACACCTGCATCCCGTTCAACCTGTGCTCTCCCCACACATGTGTCTCTCCCACACCTGCATGTCCACTTCCAAATGGCCCCTTGAGGAAAAGAAGCAGATCTAAAGAAAATTAGGCACAGATGTGTGTTGTGTGTGTGTGTATCTGTGTGTGTTTGTGTGTGAAAGTGTGTCACAGCGTGCCTGCATCTGTATATTTATGCTTGTGTGGTGGGTGTAAAGGGGTCTATGTGTGTGTGAAGGGGTCTATGTGGTGTGAAGGGGTCTATGTGGTGTGAAGGGGTCTATGTGTGCACATGTGAGTCTGTGAGTTTCTATGTGTGCTTGAGCGTGTGGGATTGTTGTCTGCGTGGGGGCTGTGACTGCATGTGTGCATGTTGCTACCATGACACCCCTCCTTTGAGTGGGGAGAAGGGGCTTCTCTCCTGCCCAGCTCTGTTCCTAAGGGGCACAGATTTCTGCCCAGCGCCGGGCTCTCCTGAAAGACCACCCCTTCCACCAGCTGAGGGGCCAGAAGCCAGCCCTTGCTTGGCATGGCCCCAGACTCTTCCTCTAGGGGGGACTCCCCTGTTAGCCCCCCAGCCTGGCATGGCTCTTGCCACCCCACTGTTCTGTCGGTGGCAGCCGTGATAAGCCTTACTCCTTACCCCTGCACCTGGGGACATCAGCTTTAGTAAAAACCTTAGGATCTTCGCTTCTTGCCTTTTAAATTTTCTTTTAAAGCTTAAAAAATAAAAGAAACTGAAGTGAGTGAGGTTTTAACAAAGCAACTTTTATGGGGGACCCGGGGCGTGAGCAGCCTGGGTGCCCGGTCTGAGTGTGTTGTACGTGCGCCCTCTACACAGGTGCCTCCTGCAGCCGAGAAATACACCACGGAGCCCCTTCCAGTGCTGGCCCCGGGGCAGGACCCCCGCCCCATTCCTGTCTTTCCTGCTCACTCAAGTTTCGTATACGTGCTCGGCAAGCCAGGAGCATCTGCCCCCTGCACCACCCCCTGTGTGGTGCCAGCACCAGGGAGGCACAAAATCGAAGCAGATGTGGTTTGGTCTAATTTGGGGGAGACCCAAATTCAGTACATAACGAATTTTCGGGGTGAAGGATGTGGACGAATAGGGTACTACCCACAGGGTCTGAAGAAGGAATAGGAGAGCTTCCTAGAGGAGTGACACTGCCCTGATTCTAAGGACCCTTTGGGATTACCAAGTCCAGGGGACACTAAGCAATGAGTGGGGACATTTTTGTCCAAACTGAGGGAGGGGAAGCGTTACTGGCACCTGGAGATAGAGGTCAGGGAGGCCTAACCAGTGTGTAGTGTGTAGGACACCCCTGTGGAAGAATTATCTGACCTCTAACATTCTCAGGGCTGAGGTGAGAAACCCTGGTCTGGGTAGAGCAGAGGGGAAGATCTGAGGTTGTGGGGGGACCGAGAGAAGCTGCAAGGAGGGGGCTTGCCTGGGAGGACAGCCAGTGTGGGGGAGGCTTAGGCCAAGTAGAGAAGGAGTCACCTGCAGATGAACAGGGAGCCTTGACTGTCCCGCTAAGTGTAGACTTCCTAGGGCGGCGGGCTGTCACTCGAGGCCTTCAAAGCAGGGGAGTGACCTGGTCTAATTTGCTTCCTAGAAAGATCACTCTGGATACCCAGGGACCGAGAGGAAGGGAGGCAGGCTGGGCCCAGCTTGGGGGCTTCACACTGGGGGCCATGGACTCAAGCAAGGGGAGACATGACCGCTGTTTCCACAGAGGACTTAGAAGCCGCTTCGTTGACGTGGTGCAGGGAATGCAGTTACATAAGGCGGCGTTGTGCATCTCAAGGAGAAAGCTGTGGGAAAACGCCTTGGAGGGACGAGGAGCAGGAGCTTTCCATGGCTCCCAACGCCCTTTTATTTCAGTCACCAACCAGGTCAGCACGTTGCATAATGACAAGAGCTGCTCACTTGTGCTAACCCGAGTGGAATTCTCCAGTAGCCCAAATTCTGATGCTGGGACCGGTGGCGGGAGACGTCACAGAGATGGTGTGTCATCCCGGCAAGGAGTGCTGGTCTCCACAGTGTGGGTCCTCCTGGGACCAGAGATATTACCCACCATGGGGTGTCGTGGGGTGAATGTACCCCACATTCAGAAAACTACATTGGCGTCCTGACCCCCAGAATCCCAGAATGAGGCCTCATGTGGACAGAGGGTCTTTGCAGAGGTCGTTTGCATGGTGCCAACCCACAGTGACTAGGTCCTCGTTCAAAGGGGACATTGGACAGACGGGTGCGTGCGAGGGAAGACGATGTGCAGGCACGTCATTTTAAAAATATAATAAGTGCTACTATTTTTATTTAAGGCATAAATGGGGAGAACGCCTTCTCTAAGCCAAGGAATACTTGAGGCTGCCAGCAGCTGGGAGGAGGGCAGGAGATGGATTTTTCCTTAAGGAACCAGCCTTGCACACGTCTTGATTTCCGACTTCCAGCCTCCAGAGCTGTGAGTGGCTTAAGTCACTCAGTTTGTGCTACTTTGTAACATCAGCTCTGGGAACCAGTGCATCAGGATAAGCAGTGTGATTAATGGGGCATTTCGGGAAGACCCCCGCTGTCGGGCTGTCAGTCGCACAAGTGAGGGGTGTGGTTCCGGGGAATGTGGCAACCCTTCCATGACCATTTTACCCAGACACAGGAGGCAGAAAGGAAGTGAAATGCCACAGAATGCGTTGTGTGCCTGTCCCCCAACCAGCTGCACCAGCACCCCAGAAGGTGAGGCTGAAGTCCTCCTGAATCAGATCCCCCAAGGTGGTGACGATGGACGCTTAGGTTTGAGAGCCACTGGCCCTGGGTGCTGAGACCTGGAGAAGGTGACCCTTGGGTGTGCCTTAAGGATGCTTAAAGGCTTTTGAGGAACTGGAAGGATGCTTGAGATAGAGCAGAGATGCGGGGGGCGGGTGTGGACACGAGAGTCTCATTTAGGGGAAACTGCGCAGTCCAGGTTTTCCAGGACGGGAGAATATGAAGAGAGCTTGAGAGAAAGGAGTGCAGGCGCATGGGGCAGGGTGTGTGGGGCAAAGCCCAAGAGGGTGTTGTGTCTGATGGATTTGCAGCCAGGTGGAGTTCATTCTTACTGGGGGGTTCTGGAAGGCGCTTAAGGGTGACGAAACTACAGGATGAAGCGGGAGACTTGTTGTGGTACCCACATTTTCTGCACCTGTTGGGATTGCCCCAGCCCCCACATCTGCAGGCCCATCTCCTGTGTGTCAGGTGGGCTGCAAGCCGGGGTCCTGGAGATGAGCGGAGGGGTCAGACCAATACCTGCGCTATTCGTCCATCTTTTAAATCCTCACCCAGGTCTCCAGGTTACGTCAAGGAGAAGGTGTTCGTAAGTATCATGTTTATCACCAGCTTCCCTCTCACCCTAGTCTCTCTTGTTTTTTTTTTTTTTTTTTGGTATCATTACTTTATAATAATACCACAGATTATTGTATGTTCTGTAAAAATAGAACAGTGTCCGGACTTCGCTCTTTCAATCTGAGTGTAAATCAGTAAGTGTTCCTGGAATATTTTTCCCAGGGGGTGGGGATTGTGTAGGGACTATAGCCAAGATGAAAATGCAAACATTGTGCAAAAATGAAAAATGAAAAAAAACATACAAATTGTAAAACCCATTTTGCAATTATATGATTCAAAAGTGCGTTTGCACGCCTTAGGGGAATGTGGGACTGGGTGGACCGGGCGGCCTCTGAGGACTGGGTGGCCTCTGCCAGAGCTCGTGTGAGTTCACCCGCTTTCTCCCGTGTTGACTGTGTTTACCTTCAGGGCCGCCTTTATGTCGTGGTGAACGATACCGAGTTTTCACTTTCGGTGATGTGAGTAAGTTACTTTTGAAAATAAATTTATGTGGGTGAAAACAAACTTAATTCAAAACACTAAGTTACTAATAAAATAGGTGGTTTGCAGATACAGCAAATGTCACCAAGACGGGTTCTGAATGGTGAAAGTTGGGGAGCAGCAGTGTGGGCTGGGCTGGGGGGAGGGTGACCCTTCAAGGCAGGTGGTCGCCAATAAGGAGGGTGAGGTCCAGCCGTGGAACCTGAGGGCCAGACCAGCTTGTTTTCATGGGGGACCACTGACAGCTGTTTAGTGTGCCTGTGATGACATAACAGCAGTGCCTGCACGCGCGTGTGTGCATGCATTTGTGCATGTGTGTATTTTCTCTCTCCTCCCTATAGTGCATTGTGTGCACACACGTGCTTATCTCTCTACATGTATTTGTGTATGTCTCGCCGAGTCTCTATATACATTTCTGTCTCTGCTTGCACACACACACACACACACACACACACTTATATGTTTGCACATGTGTCTGTGTATTTGTGTGAGTCCAGATACATTACAGGTGGATACACGTGGCTCAACAGACATGTATATCTCTGCACACACATGTGCCACCTGTGTTTGCACGCAGACACACATACACCTATCATGCATGAAATGTGTGTGTGTGTGTGTGTGTGTGTGTGTGTGTGTGTGTGTGTAGTGGGCCTGCGTGGGGTGGATACCTCTGTTTTCAGAGCCTTTCAGAACACCAGGGCCTGGCCGGTCTCCTGAATAGATAAAACCACTTTTCTCCCACATGGGCCTTTTCAAAGACGAGCGACTCCCAGTCTCTTGACCTTGACCGCCGGCCAGCAAATCATGGTTCTTCTGCCTGAGCCAGCTCTGTCCTATCTGAGGCAGGTCTGACCCAAGTTGCTAAGCTCCCCATCGTGGCCAGCCTGGAGGCGGAGAACGGCGGGCCTGTGTCTGGGAACAGGGCACCGTGGTCAGACAGAACGCAGACCCATCTGCCCTCTGCCCGCTCACCTCGGTGCTCCCGGCCAGCTGCCCTCGCGAAGACGTCCATCTCCGACAGGTTCTGGCCTCTTCCTGGGAGGCCTTCCAGCAGGTGTTCCTTGCTGGCTGCTTGGCCCGGGGCGACAGGGAAGAAGTAAAGAAGAGGCAGAAAGCGGGCCCATCTGTCTCTGTCTCTTCTCTGTGTGGTGACCTGGAGAGGTGCAGGAGGTGCCCACCTGCCTTCCTCAGGCTTGGCTGTCTTGGTGGCCGCGGCCCGGCTGTCTCAGCGCACAGAAGGCTGCATGCAGGAGCTCCCCACAGGACTGGCGGGGGCAGCCCTGGATGGTGCTGGTGGCACCTGCTTGTGTGGCTGCCCCCCTCCTGGTCTGCGCCAGTGTCCTCTTCCACCCGCTCCCCAGGCGGGCCCCACGCAGTTCCGTTTCCGAGCGTTTGCACGTGCGGTGGATGTAACCACTCCTGGCTAAGCCTTTGTGAAGTCTGGCTTGGAGGGGTTGAGAGACTTGCCTAAGGGCAAGAAACTTGTCAAGGGCGGATCACAGCTCAGTTTTCAAGATGGCTCCAGCGCCCACCCACACTCGCGTTCACTTGCCAGAGCTCTCTGCTCGTCGTCGTGGCATGTGGCACAGCTGCCGGTTTCCTCGCCTGTGCTTGGCGTCTGTAGGGTCTGTCTCTCCCCAGGCACTGGGTCCCCGATGGCAGAGCCCATCCAGGTTCGCCCTGGTCTCCTGCGTGTGCCCATCCTCTGGCCAGCGCACGATGCTACTTGCTGAATGAATGAATGATTGACAACCAGGCCTGACTAAAGCCTCTTCACTCTGCAGCCTTTCTCTCTGCAGAATCCTGTGTGCTAGAATCTTCATAAATGTTGGAGTTTTATCACAGTCAGAGGTTGGCATGACAGGTGGGGGCGCCAGGGACATGTTCCCGAGGAGAGTCACACCATCAAGCCCAATTCAGGCGTCCACATGTGCCCGCGGTGCAATGCAAGAGCCGCAGGCCAGCTGGGGCACAGGTGGGGTGTCCTGGGTGTCAGGAGTGCTGGGCAGTGGGCGTGCTGATGGGTTCGGCGGCTCCCTGGGGGCGGGGACAGTGGACGCTGGTCTCACGCACGAGCAGAGGCCTCCTGTCGGGAGTTTGAGCAGGAGTCAGATGGAACCAGTGACTCAGCCTCACCCTTCCTCACAGGTTGTGTGCCAGGGGGCTCCCCTGCTGCTGCCTGAGGGCCCAGAGTACTTTCTAGCTGTGCCCCCTTGCTCTTCCGTTCCTCGGTGTCCCCATCTGCCCATTGCGGGTAATGACAGGTCCCGGGGAGGAATGTCTTCATTTACATGAAATACGTAGAACACACAGGACGCCGTGTGTTGTGGCGCTCCCCTGAGCTGCTGACTTGTGAGGGTGCAAAGTCTACTCCTGGAGGTCAGGGAAGGTTGCCCACGAAGCTGGGATTTGTAGGGGGTGGAGAAAGTGGGAACAGCCTGGGCCAAGGCCCTGTGGCAGGAGGGACTACAGCAAGCGTAAGGTGTGAGGCCATCCGGAGAAGACTCTGAGCATGGAGGGTGAGGGTGAAGGCGGACAAGGGCGAGACTGCAAGGGGACGAGGCCACTTTAGGGGGCTGCATCTTTATCTGAAGAGCAGAGAGAAGCCACTGAAGGCTTCAGAACCATGGTGGAGGGGGCAGCGAGCCTCAGATTTACCTTCCGGAAGCAGCCTCCCTCTGACAACCACGCAGCCTGGGGACGGGTGGGCAGGACGTGGGCGCAGCAAGTCCCAGCCGCAGAGCGCGTCTTCCCACAGGCCAGCCTGGCCGATGTCTGGGAGGGGCAGGCGCAGGCACCGACAGTGAGGATGTGCTGTCTCAGGGCACGAGGTGGGCTGGGAAGAGAAGCGGAAAGCAGGTCTCCTGGGCAGGGCCGGCTGCTAGCACACTTGGCTGGAACTGGGCCTTAAACAGCATTCATAATTGCTCACGGTTCTGGAGGCCAGAAGTCCAAGATCAAGGTGCCAGCAGCTGCAGTGGGGACCTGCTTTCTGCTTGCGGGTGACTGCCTGCCGGTGTTTTGCTGTGTCCTC